TATAATTGCAAATACATCAGAATCCATAATTTTCCTCGAAATAGTAGTAGTAGTAGTATATTTATCTTTTTAGCAATTCGAATACACACATTTACAACATTATACACACATATTATGGAATTTAAAAATAAATTAAAAATTATGGCAGTAACTAATATTGTTGAGTGCCACACTAGAACTAACATATTAAGTTAACATAAACTACTTACGCAAATTCATTAATAATAAAATCCCTATATTTAATGCTGTTTTGCAAATATTTGTACAACGCTTCGTAATCACCGCCATTTAAAATGTTTATCACTCTTGCCAGGTCCAAAACTATTTCAAAGAAGCTATCCAAACGAGACGCGTTGTAGGCTGGGCAGACACCGATAAAGTGGTAAATACTTTCCGCATCGCCAAGGTTACAAATTGGACATATAACAGAGGTTACGTTTTTAAATGATCTCGCATTAAGGTTAAGCAAACCACCTCTCGCGCGGAAGATTAAGCTAATAGCATACGAAGAGTGCTCGTCGTTGAAATATTTAACCCCTACGGGTGTTAAATGTGNTTGGACATATAACAGAGGTTACGTTCTTAAATGATCTCGCATTAAGGTTAAGCAAACCACCTCTCGCGCGGAAGATTAAGCTAATAGCATACGAAGAGTGCTCGTCGTTGAAATATTTAACCCCTACGGGTGTTAAATGTGGGTAAAGGTCATGTGTGCTAGAACTTTGGGCGCGCTCAACATAAAGTTTGAACTCTTTTTCGACAAGTTTACTAAGCAACAAGGGGGTAAACACTTTAAGGAACGTAGGAGAAAACTCCGTAAGGGGTTCCAAGTCTGCGCTGAGTGATAAGCGCTTCCAATTTCTGACCCAAGGTACCTCTTGTCGTATGGACTCGTCGGCAAGGACACGCGGCAGTCTACTTGTAGGTAAACTAAGGCAACGTGTTATAAATAACATATGAGCGCGCAGTGTGTGGAAGTACTGGGGGACTATACCCGTTTCCAAATGCAACATATAATTTGGCGTGTTCGCAGGCAAGAATATAAGCTTCTTTATAAAGAAACGCAAAAGTTTTTCCACCTGTTCATGACTTTCCCCACCCCACACCTGTGCACCATAGAACATAATTGATCTTGAAGCCGCATCAAAGATTTTAATTTTTTTCGAAATTTGAATTCGGGGGTTGTTTATGTAACTTAACCAAGTAGCGCATATTGCAGATTTCGCCTCGCTAAGTTTTGTGTCTAAGTGCTTAGTGTAGGAAAGTCTGTGGTTTAACATTATACCAAGATACTTATATTCATTTACAGTTTCAATTGGGTCATTTCCAAAAGACCACCTGCAGTCTGCCGAAAGTCTGCCATCCTTTCTAAAGACAAGGACTTTTGATTTAGATAGGTTTACTTTTAATGCCCACAGCATGCAGTACTCATGCAATGCATTTATCATGTTTTGTAAATCTAAAGCAGACTCAGCTAACAGCACCAGATCATCGGCATACATTAAGAGCTTGATCGTCATGCCCGCAACTTTAACGCCACCCGGGAGATTATCAATCAAGTCATTAAGGTACAG